TCTGCGTATCACTCATTCCAAGCATGCATTTCATCATGCTTGTGTCTAATTTCAGCTGACAGAGAGAGAAATAATCAAGGAAACGAAAACAAATACCACGGTGCCACCCAGGTGGCTAACTCAGTCAATTTCGATGATTATTATAGGAATCCTGAAAGACATGCTGGAGCAAGAAGTTACTAGCCATAGTAGCTATGATTATATATAATGTAATGAGTGGTATGTATGTCGGGTATTTGCCCTAAATACAGTTCTTCAAAAGCATTATACAGAAGATACTAGTATTTGAGGCATCGCTCTAGCTCCATTTTAGGAACTGGAAACCGACTTCAATATTTAATCAAATTAATATGCACTCGATATGTGGACAAATTGTGTGATTTTCAGTTCACATCGAAGTGCATGTTATCGAGCCCATGAGTGGATGGTTTTATAGCTCATCAATTTCATTACGTTTGTTAGATGTTTGGAGACGTTTGCAAAAGGAAACCTGTCACAATCAAAGGAAAGGAAAAGAAAAAATAGTACAGGCGTCGGTGACGTCAATAACGCAGACTTGCGTCAACAAAATGACGCTTTGTGTACAACGGACATCATTAGAGAGGCGCTGAAAAGCGTGACGCAGGGCACGATTTGTCATCTACTGAAAATTCGTATGGTACAAAATCTTCAACCTAAAAGTGAATCTAATTTTTAATTTGAGAAGTAAAACGAGTTTGTCTTAAAGATACTATGTCCCTTTTGCAGCCAACATCAAATTCTGTAGAACTCTGCTGGAATTATGAATATGCCATGTATAGTCCTATCTGTGAAATTTAAACATTAACAGTGTCCTAGTATTAAAATTAGGCAAGGAAAACCGTTTACCTTCTATAATTCACTGTCAGACACTATTGAGTGACTGGCTAACATCTATATTTGTTTGGTGGTAATAATATACATGTACATAAAATGAGCTGTAACGGGTACATTAGCTTTTGTATACTTCAATAACCCACTACTTGCAATGGCGAAAATTAAACTGATTTGAATCTTTGTGCAGCACAAAATGTACAACCATTCGGTAAAACAGTCTGAAAATCAGACTTTTACTTAGGTGATTGCAAACACTTAAGTCGATTCGACAACTAATGGTCGTTATTTTCCCACTAAAAGCCATTTTCAAGCCCTTTCGTTTTGAGGGAAGTTCTAAATTTGTATTATCTTTCTAATGTCGTTGGAATTTAACATGTTCATTTCGTTTGGTCTGCAAATGGGACATAGTAACCAAAAACGATTCAAGGATATAGCATCAAAACTACGGCAGTGTTAGTGTTAACGTCATTTTCATGATACTCATAGACATGGTAGAGCTTTACATTCGTCGTCTCAATTCCACTGATCTGAAAAGAGATCATGGCTATTACTTTCCTGTTATCCTCTTCGGCCATGTGATCCTTTCACAAATCGTCTTCTTTTCCCTTCCAAGCACCTGTAATCAAATACACAAATGAGTTGGACTTGCCCACTTTTTGTCCTGTTTTTGTTTGTGTAGAATTGTAGAAAAGGTGATTGCTGAAGGCACTATGAATATGACGGACAAAGAAAGAGGACAAAATATACAGTTCCTCAGGAAGGCAAAGGAACATCCCTTCACTGCTATCATGTAAAAATATGTAAATCAGGTGATTATGCATGTGACACCTGTTCTACACATTTTTACATAATAGCAGGGAAGGGATGTTCCTTTGTCTACCTGAGGAACTGTATATTTTGCCCTCTTTCTTTTTCCGTCATGTTCATAGTGAGAAGAGCGATTTGGCATGACAATTAAAACTTTCGATATGCCACAAAAATAATGTCCTAGCTGCGCTACGTTATATAGTCACAATTGGATAGAAATACCAAAGGCTTCAAGATCGGCTTTTAAATTTGACTGTACTTATTTTCTATACTTGACTAAAATTGCACCTGTTTATCATTTTAAAATTCGTAATACTATCAGGGTCTTAGTTATTTTGGGGAATGCACAATGTGAACTACACTACAATAACAGAATCGCCGGGTTGAGGAAAATCTATTCATGGCTCGACATTATCCACATGCATCGATTAAAGAGTCCAGTTTCTCGCTTGGCTGCTTGAGTGCCGCATCGTAACTAACTCAGGGGGTTGGTCCCCTCCTACTTTCTTTATAGTCGGCTAGAAAATCAGTGCAGTTTGTCAGAAAGGATCGTAATTTTGAGTTTATTCTTTGACGTGTTTGCGTCATATTTTGATATCACTGTTGCCCATAACATTATTTAGAATTACAGAGATTTTCTTGATAGATGAAGATTAAATGTTCTCGAAGCTTTATCGATCCATATCTAAACGATTTCTAAAATCAATAATAAATCATAGATATCTTGATAGTCAGACAGGCGATTGGCTTGTAAAGGTCGTGGGATTCACTTACAAAGGTTTATGATTATGATTGCAGCATGAGCTAAATCCAGGATTTCTATTAGAATCTGAGGCACAGTTACCCAATCCCTTTAACTACCCCAGTCGCGGTGATTTGTCTGAAATTTGGACCCCCTACCCCATGAATGCCGTCACGACAGCCCTTCCGCATGGCTTGAATAAACCTACGATTGAAGCTCGCTGGTGAGCTCATGCCTGCATCACTGACCTAATCCTAGCACAGGCGTGATTCTCAGCACCCGATATCACGACTCACCTCAACGCTCACCATGCATATGCATGGTTATTGCTCTTGTGACATTTCTAGTGCCCTATTAGAACCTAAAATTGCTATGAAGGTAATTTTAGACACCAAAATGTGTGAAATTTAGATTAACTACGCGTACATATTCAGCTCCACTTTCAAAAAAAATATGGTGACCGTTAATTAACTAATTAATTAATAATATCATTACACGGGCTGGCTGGTATTTTAACCAACATGAAAAGCCAACGAAAAGCCAAAATTGGCATTGGCTGGAGTAAAACGTATAAGGCGCTATCTCGTTCTTACAACGGCTGGTTCAAAATTATCGAATATTTGTGGTGCCCCACAAATTTTAGAAATGGTTATATTTATGGATATTTCAGCCGTCTCTGAACTGATTTTGATCAAACAAAGATGATTTTGTCATTTAAATTGTACGTTCTTTCAACTTAAACACTCAAGCCCGAATTCACAAAGGAGGTTTGTCGACAAACCTTGGTTTTCGTGCGTCATATGACGCGTTTCGACGCGTTTTTACAAACCAGGTTTGTAAAAAGCACGTCAAAACGCGTCATATGACGTACATAAACCTCTGTTTGTCGACAAACCTCCTTTGTGAATTCTGGCCTCAGTTTTTTTCATTATCCCACACATTTTTTTGTGTGTAGCGCCCTCTGCAACAAAACTCAAATATCCCTTAAAAGGGGAATCCCACCCTTATACCAAACTACTATAAAAGAGAGCAAAGCATTCAACGAAACAGACTGGCGACAGGTTTGTACGAAATCGGACTACAAATAAGAAGTTATACAAGTTTTTAAATTATAATCACTATACGAATGTGGATTCTCATATTGGTCGAATCGGTAACTCTGACGTAGTACCGGACAACTTCCCATCTTTTTGTTCCAAAACACAAAATTACGAACATTACATTTCTTTAAAATGTATACCTCAGGACATTCAATTTCTTTTAGAAGATGTATAATGATAATAAATAATAATAATGGTTATTTATATAGCGCCGGTATCCGTCAGGTTCTGACGCTCATGGCGCTTTACACAATTACCCTGGTCGTAGCCTAGCTGCCAGAGTAACTAGCGCTCAAGCATATCAGGTACCCATTTACACCTGGGTGGGGAGTGGCAAATGTAAATGCTATCCATAATATATTTTGAGCAGTGCTCCAAGGGAGAAGACAAATAGGGTGAATGACCGTGGCTACGTTACAATCCATTGATCAAATTGCCAATTTGAACAAAAATGTTGGATAATTACAAAGTCTGCTTCATCCAGGGGTCATCGGGTCACGCGCTCCTACCCGCCCCCAAAAAAGAGGGGGAAAGGAAAAGAAGAAAAAATAAGGAGAAACATTGGCTTGCTTGTCACAAAGTTATCGTATTCCCACTCCCCACCATCTCCAGAGAATCAATCTTTTTCTATTTTTAAGTGGTTTACCATCAAACCCATAGATGGGATGAATATGTGTAGCTAATATGATTGTCGTTGTTATCACTAATGTATTGCCGAATAGATACATTAGGTTGTTCTTGTAGAACTGTCAAAAGCTATAATTACAGAAACCTCATTTTCCACCTGGTCAATGACCACAAATCATGCACAAGAAAATACTCATTTGATCCTAAATTCATTTCCCATTTTCATTGTTAATCCTTCAAGCCTATCTGCACTAGTTTGGCCAGGAGGGAATTGACCTCCCTGCATGGTCACTGACAGGTGGTTATCTCATCAAATTAGCTCTCAATTGACTTCAGAAAAAGGGGACCATGAGGGACCAATGCATGGTCACTGATTAGGCATTGTTTGCTATATAGAGTCCACTGACCAAATTGCCAATTTGAGATTCGCATGTAGTGACCTCATAATTATTTCAAACATTCATAACTCTCTTATTATTGTTTTTATTTATTTTAAACTCTCACCATTTTTAAATTTTATTTTCTGCTTCCATCAAAATTAAGTTAGTCCAAGGGTTTGGTTGCTTTTTAACATGTAGATAAATGTAAATTGCAGTATGATGACTGAAGTATGAAGACGGATGGGGACGACTCCAATTGTGCCATGCAATGTGAACAATTTAAAGTTAGGAAAGAGCATTTTGTAAATAATCTTAAACACGTAAACAATAAGTTTAAAAACTTTAAAGCATGAAGAAGACAAAAAGATTGGGGGCAAGTGCTCCCTTTCCCCGAATATCTAAATCACTGATATCATACAATTCGGATGGTACGCGTGTTATACGATCTTTTTAATGATATGATTCTCTTTCTATTTTCTTGGCATACAGGACCAAGTCTCTGAGGACACCACCTAACATGTTGATTGTGAATCTTGCCATCAGCGACTTTGGAATGGTCATCACTAACTTTCCCCTCATGTTTGCTTCAACTATTTACAATAGATGGCTCTTCGGAGATGCGGGTAAGATTATATTTTCATTCTACCCCAGTCACATTGACGAGACCGACACTACACCGACATCAGATCGACACCTGACCGACAACACACCGACAACACACCCACAATACACCAACATAAGATTGACACCAGACCGACACCAAGCTGACAGCACACCGACACCGGACTGACACCGGACTGACACCAGACTATCACCAGACTGACACCAGACTGACAGCACACCGACACCAGACCGACACCTGACCGACAACATACCAACAACACACTGACAACAGACCGACACCAGACCGACACTAGACCAACAACAGACTGACACCAGACCGACATCAGACTGACAGCACATCGACACCAAACCGACAACATACCAATAACACACTGAAAACAGACCGACAACACACCAACAACAGACCGACAACACACCCACACCAGACGGACCTCAACCAACAGCAGACCGAAAATACACCAACACCAGACCGACAACGGACCGACAACATACCGACAACAGGTCCATCAAACAATATTACATCACTTCTTATGGCCAAGAATCGGTCGATCTGTAGCTCGTTTGGAGTTGGTCTGGCGGTGTGAATAATTACTCATTATAGAAGTAGTGGGGGATGCAATGATTGTAAGATAATGTGGGAGGGAAATGGTCAAAGGAAAAGGGGATTTTAAAAAAGGAGGGTGGAGTAGAAAGAGAATGAGGAAACAAAAAGCAAAAATGAGAGGGAGAAACCATTACTGGTATGGAAAGACAAAAAAAAAAAAAGGCGGGGGGGGGGGGTTTACATTAGAATTAATAAAATGGAAGACAATATATGTTACTTTGAAATAAAATGGTACTGGGAAGTTATTTGTTACTCGAGGACCTATCATAATGCTATCCATATCTTATTTTGAGTAGTGCCCCACGGGAGAAGAAATTAAGCTTCAGAGAAAAACGGAAAGTAACGCTATAATAAATTGGTAAAGCAGGAGAGTTGATCGTAAATACGTCATAAACCAAATTGCCCGTGTGATATCCGCATAGATATCAAAAGTGATCTCTTGTTTTAAACATTCAAAACTTTCTTTTATCATGTTCGATTTATTTCAAACTTGCATCATTCAATTTCTCTCATTATTTTATCTGCTTTAAAAAAACATGAACTTATTACAGCGGTTGGATTGCCATTTAAAGACTTATTTAATCTAAGGGCTCTCTTCTCGGCTGCATTTCGTCCACTTCATCCCGCTTTCGGCTCATATCTAGACAGACCTCTATCTATATCTCTCACAAAGAGGAGGATAAGCTAAATTGAATCAAAATCGTACTGAGGCCAGACAAGCAGTGCGATTGTCTCCAACTTTAAAGCTGATTCGGGTTTTTTTTTTCTGACTAGTAGTATGCACTGAAATTCGGTTTGTTAGTGTCGTAGCCAAGTGGTTTAAGGCGCTTGACTAGAAATGCGAAGGTCGAGGGTTCGAATCCCGACACGGCACCTAATATCATTTGGCAAGAATACTACCCTGCGCTTGCTACTCTCAACCCAGGTCTTAAATGGGTACCCGGTAGGATGCGACCATCATTGTTAGTCAAACAGTTTTTGAGCGACAAGTAACGCCTTGCTGGAATGCTCCCCAGTGGGTGGAGATTGTGCACACAACGTGCGCGGGCAAGCATTGAATCCAATGACCGGGGATAAAAGTATATCTGTCAAGCGCTTAGAGACATCGTAGATGTATTTAGCGCTATTTAAAGGCGGAATATTATTATTATTGTCATTATTTAGAACCTAAATCAGGAAGATGATATTATCCTTAGATTTCCATATCTCATATAATTTTCCCTTTCTTCGAAAATCAGATTACAGGAGGTTCGTATAGTGTACTTTAGAGGCGTTTTAGAAATGTGTCTTTATCCTCATCATTATCAATCTTCCCACATTATTAATCCAACTTTTCTTGCCGGTCCTAATAAAGAAGTTTTGCTCCAAAATTCTACTCTTCTCTAATCTACCTCAATTCTTTATCCTTATTCAAGTTAAATTATCTTCCCTCTTTGGTGCTTTTCTTCTTTATTTTGTTCCCCTACTCGGTTTTTTCCTCTTGTAGTCTTTTGTTACTCCCATCCCTTTATCATTTCCTTTATATTTGTTTTCATGTAGGCCTATCTTCAGCTAAAAAAGAAAGAAATGGAAGTATGAGGGAAAGGGTGAACACCCCTCCCCCCCCCCCCCCGAACACATTTCGTCTATGTCACGATCAATGTGTCATTTTGGTTTGAGGTAAACACAGAGTGCGTCAGCTGTTCGTACCAAGGATATAATGTTTACTAAGCATGGAGGTTATGTTTAAGCTAATGTTGTGTTACTAAGTAATCAAATTAATTGATATTACATCTTCTACCTTTCCCGCAGCTCTATACTTGAAAATAAATGATTATCTTCACGAACTCAATGTGGGCAAACGGTCTAATGGGATCGTTCACAACATTACAATTTCTGTCTCATTCTATACCATTTCAATTTCTCACCGTCCATTACATGTAATTGTGTTTGCGTTTTTGATTCTATTTGCAGAAGGCCTAAGTGCCTTTGGCTTTTATGGGCTGTGTTTTTGCTTTCATCTAAAAATCAGTCCGAGGGATTGCTTGTTTTAATGGAAACGGTGAAATGATTATGCTATATGTGTCTCTTCTAATCTACCAACACCCGCAGCGATAACCGCATGGCCAAGTTGGTAAACGCGACCGGTTCGAGACTTAAAGGGATATGGTAGTCAGTTTTCATGTGAAGTAGGTCATACGTCGCCGACACAAGACTTGGTGGAAATACCATTTATGCCATATCGTGAGTGTACAAATCTTGCCTACAGGAAAGCCAGGTTGACAGGGTCCCATCAGGATATATATCCCCTCGTCTCTCTCGAGGGAGTCTTCGGGTGAGGGAAGTGCCCTGCTTTTCCATATGAAGCGATTGGTGGAAAATGCAGAGCATTAATTGCATAAGACCTGTTGGTCATTAAACTGAATGCAACTCCTGGTGATTGACAATACTGGTCATTGGTTTAACACCCGAATGGTGTCAAATTCCCCCATGAGAACCCACTACTATGTGTCTTTAAATTTTAATACGTTTCACCATCTATACCTCAAGCAGAACAGTGAGAGCTAAATCGATTTCTTTTTTAAGAAGCAAGTACAATTTGAGAGGAGGGTTGATAACGACGCTCTATCATGATACTTGTCAGGAGTGGTTTACGTAACACTTGTTTTGAAGTCATCACCCATTTCGTTGTATCATGTCTTGTACACGATATCCGTCCTGATCAATCCACCAATACAAATATAATTCCAAGCGTAAACAGAAAATGTTGTTCTTGCTAGAATAATGTAAAACATGAGTATGATTTTCGAGGTAGAGAACTCGGGTTCATTAAATGCTAGGGGAAATAAAAATGAATAAATAAATAAAGGAAATAAATACTCTGTCAGCTCAAAAGGCCTCCCTCTCCCAATCCTTCTGGTCACGTGAATTTTTATGCGACTCTCTAATAAATGTATAATATCTCTTGGGTCGTAATGATCTCTTTTTGGATCATTCCCAATTATTTTTAATTTTACAGGTTGTCAGTTTTATGCCTTCTGTGGAGCTCTGTTTGGAATCATGTCCATTGCCAACATGACTGCCATCGCCCTGGATAGGTAAGGAAAGATGACTGAATAATCATTGGCGTAGCCCTCGATTCATAGGGAGAAGGGGGGGGGGGTACGTACTCTTGAGCAATTTTTTATTTGTATTATGTATTCATATAAACATTTATTTCCTTCTCAACGGTACAATATGAAACACAATGTATCTATAAATTATATATGTAACAATGATTTCAACATAGAGTATACAGTTAATAATTCAGATAACAGAAGGAGGCGAAAACCCGAAAAGCATAGCTTGTAAGTTATGATAACATATTCCTTAATAAAGAGGGTAACTAAAAGAAGAAAAATCCCCCAACAACAACAACAACAAATGAAAAGAAAAAACAGATTTAAGAATTTAACATAACCATACAGTACAGTATGCCATACAGGGGATGTTTCATAAAGAGTTCGTAAAGTTACGGATGACTTTACGAACGACTTGTATATGAAGTGCCAGATAGGATGCCCAAAGTTTTTTCTGATAATTTCAATAACCTCAATTAAATTATGGAAAAAATATATTTTGCATTAAAAGTGGTTGTTATAAAAAGAATATTAATCTACATCTGCACAGTTCAACTTAATAAATAATAATCAATAATGATTGAGCATCCCATTTGGCTTTTCATATACAAGTCGTTCGTAAAGTCATGCGTAACTTTACGAACAGCTTTATGAAACACCCCCCCCCCCCCAGTGTGCACACTATGAAGCGCTATTTTGATATCTTCACATTGGTACATGTAATTCGTGAAGCCTACTTCTCCTTCATTTTTAAAGTCGATCAGATACATGAGTTATATCTGTGTTCATAACGAGGGTTGAAATTCTTCAGTAAGTTGTGCACCTACCAATCTCATTATAAGAACAAATTAACTCCAGAAAAAAAGAGCTGTCATTGGGAAAGAGATCAAAATGTGTTTTTCTTTGAGGACGACAACACATTTTTATTATGTTCTCTGCGGAAAATCTGGAATATATATGCATGATCTCAGACAAGAGCCCTAGAATTTCTTCAAATAGTTTTTGAAAGTATGAGCGGAGAAGGGGAAGTGATTTTTGAAAGAAGAAGAAAGAAAGGCAGTGAAACTCATTTTGTGTAATAAGGGAGTTTACAGATAGCACATGGTACAAATGACCCCAAATATCCACAGATCTTTTACACTTGGAGAAGTTCCACTTTGAGCATATTAGAATAATAACTGCCAAAGTCCTAGATGTGCTTCATTAATACCTTTTGTTTTCCCTCTTGAAAAGAATACTTCCACCTGCGTATCATAGAATGTACCGTTGGTGCATAAATGAATAATGTTACATAACGATATCATTAGGAAAGAGGAGAAACTGCCCGATATAAACCGCCAAACAGATATATCGCTTTCTTTGGCCCCCATTCCAGGTACTACGTGATCTGTTGGTCTCTGGAGGCTGTGCGTTCGGTGACTCATCGAAGATCTATGATCATCATCATCATAGTCTGGTGCTATGCCATCTTCTGGTCCATCCCGCCTTTCTTCGGGGTAGGTTCCTATGTCCTGGAAGGCTACGGACTCGGATGCACATTCGATTTCATGACAAAGGATCTCAATCACTACCTGCACGTCAGTTTCCTCTTCGCCAGCAGTTTCGTCGTGCCAGTCACCATCATCATCGTCTGCTTCACCCGGATAGCGATCACGGTGAGGGCCCATCGACATGAGCTGAACAAGATGAGGACAAAACTCACGGAAGACAAGGACAAGAAGCACAAGTCGTCCATCCGTCGCGCCAACAAGGCCAAGACAGAGTTCCAAATTGCCAAGGTCGGTTTCCAAGTCACTATCTTCTACGTTCTCTCCTGGATGCCTTATTCCATAGTCGCTGTCATTGGACAGTATTTCGACTCTGATTTACTGACACCTCTAGGAACAGTGGTGCCTGTCATCTTCGCCAAGTGTTCCGCCATCTGGAACCCCATCATCTATTGTCTGTCTCATGAGAAGTTCAACGCAGCTTTGAAAGAGAAGCTCATGGGGATGTGCGGCATAGAGATCCCATCGAAGCACCGTAGCATGGGATCGCAGGAGTCTTCGGTCACAGGACGACGTGGAATGCATCGCCAGAACTCCTCCACACTGTCGGAGTCTTCTGTCACCAGTACCGTAGATCAGGACGCTATCGAGCTGAAGGACCGGAAGCAGGGTCCAGCTACTGTCAAGGTCCAGCAGGAGAAAGTTGAAGGGGGTACGTATCGGAGGAATCCTGGAGATGTCACCTTTTCCAAAGACGCCGGAGTTGAGGTCGATGAGAAGAGGAGGGGCGATCAGGGCCAGCGTGACGATCGGGTGAGACCACAAGGTGAGGGACAGATGGACCAATGGAGCCAACCGCCTCCTGCTCCTGCTTCTGCTTCTGCTCCTACTCCTGGTGTCAATGATAAAGAATACCTTACAAAGATGTAGGATACTGGGGTTAAATTTATCTGCGTCTAGTGCCTGTTGCACACGAGGTGTTATATTCCTGACTCAGCATTGCGTCAGCGATTGGTGCAGTCTTTTGACGCACCCTGCGAGGGTGACGTACAGTGCGTCCCAGAAAAAAACGAAACCGAGAATTATCGATGTTTTATCATAACTTAATCACGATTATAGTTAACAAATGACACATATCTGGAAAGCTTAGATCCTCCTCTTTCATTTGATCTAACTCATATGATTCATGTCTCACACATGAGTGATTAAAAGCAATTTGAAGAGAGGAAACTAAAAAGTCATTTGGCGGGCGGTATCTGAATTTTAAAAGGAAAATCACATTTCTAGAAAGTTCATTTTCTGCCCTTTCATATGACACCTCAATCAGGAAAAATGAGCAAGGAATAACAAAGTTCTGTTTGTTTAAAGTAAGGCTTGCATTTCCATAATTTGATCAAACGAGTTCGTTTTCACTGGCTACCTGCCGTAGCAACAAGCAGAGTTGACAAAAGACTTAACTCCGTTTCGTTGAAGTTCAGCCATGCATCATGTCTTTCGTCTTCTGTGTGCATGGCTGATCGTCAACGAAACGGAGTTGAGTCTTTTGTCAACTTTTCCAAAGAGCGATAGAATAAAATTATTAAAAGCTAGTTATTATTGTTGCAAACTTAAGACACCACAGTATTCATTGGTGGAACAGGGTTACTATTTCATTTATTTAAATCAATACTTGCCGTGTGTTTATACATCGATGAAAAGCATTGGCGTCGACAAATTCTGGGAAGAGGAGTTTTCAGCCCAATGAAACATGTTGACAATAATTATAGCAGTCTCACGTCTGCCCTGAGTATCGTAACTGTGCCGAAAAATACCTTACCGGTATATCTCTTATCGGGGGGGGGGGCTGCACCCCACCCCTCCCCCTCTTGGCTACCACAATGATAGATTACACCTTTTTTTGTTTGTTTGAAATTACCCCTCTCACTCTAAGTGCCATATCGATTGACTTTGGCGATCATGCTGTTCCAAAACCCTCGGTTCCTAGCCTTCTGTATTAGTACCACTCCCAGTTTTTTCACTCCTCTCTCTTCCAACAATTTCTGCAGACTGTCCATCCAAACTATCCTCCTTCTTCCCCTACTCCTTCCCACAATTTTCCCTGTCAAAGCAAGATTCTCAAGGCCTTCTTTACGTGTAATGTGGCCCATGAACTTCAACTGCCTAATCAACATCTCACGTATCATTTTCCTTTGCACTCCAGCTCGTGTAAGAACTTCCTCATTACTAACTTTGTCAGTCCAGGGGATTTTCATCATTCTTCTTAAGAACCACATTTCGCAACTTTCCAAACGCTTTTTAGTATCAGAGGCTAAAGTCCATGTTTCACTACCATACATAAGTACTGGGTATATGTAACAATTCAATACTCTTATTCTGGTCCTCATACTCATTGTTCGATTTGTCAGAATTTTGCCTAGCTTTGAAAATGCAGATTTAGCGAGAGCTATCCTTCTCTTGATCTCTGTCTCACATCTGGCATCCTCGGTGATCATGCTGCCGAGATAGTTAAATGAGGAGACTTGTTTAATAATCTGTTCTTTTAGTTTCAAGTTACATTTTGGACTGCTCTTCTTAGAGACCACCAGGCACTTTGTCTTGGTATAGTTGATCTCTAGTCCCATTTTCTCACTTTCTTTTACAACTACATTCAGGAGTCTCTGGAGATCTTTCTCTGATTCGGAAAATAAAACAGTGTCATCAGCATATCTAATATTTGTGATTGAATGGCCACCCACTTGTATCCCATTTTCTTCTTCCAATTCTCTTAGAATGATTTCACTATACATATTGAACAGGTCCGGCGACATAACACAACCCTGTCTGACTCCCCGTCTGATGTTAATATATTCACTACACTCTCCTTCTACCCTGATGCATGCAAACTGATTCCAATATAGACTTTGTAGCAGTCTTAGATCTTTCCTATATATATATCAAGCTTTTTCATTTCAAACTTCCCCTATTACATCAATAAGAAATTGATATATGGAAATTAGATGAATTTCAAAGGATATGTTAAATAGGCCTATGTAAACACTTGATTTGGTGGTGTGTATAAGGCCATTTCCAAATTACATATTTAATTGGATACAAAATTAATCTAACAGGCATATAAAACAATGGAATGGAATTAATGTAAAAAGTATAAGTGTTTACGACGTTGTGAATGCTCTGGATGAGGATTAAATTAATCATGTTAATACAGATCAGTAAGCCCATTTAATTTGTGAAACTATTTCTTTTTTTTTGGAAGCGTATAACTATATCACCTTGCTTGTACTGGTATTTTGTATATATTGAATATATATTTGTTTGTTTGTATATACATGTATTCTATTTATTTCCGTATTATTGTCTCTTTGTTTACCATGCGTGGCATGATGTAATTTATATCCAGTGCATTGTAGATTACAATGCGATCCTGAAATAAACTTTGGCTTAAAAAATCTAATATTATAGGTTATATCATCACTTATAATGAAGATGCGATTAATTGTTGGTCATTGTGAAATTAATCATGACTGTGTGCAAATGTAAATACTCTGAAGATATATCATTTTGATATACATATATTTTCTATAAACAGAGTCGAAATATGCGTAAACAATGTGTGTACTATTTTATAATCAGAATTGACAACTGTGTAAATAACATATTATATTTATAAAAAATGTGTAGCAAGATGATCGTGAGCTCTGTGTATACGCAAACATATCAATTATATATATTTACACTAAATAACGCCAACGATATAATTGGATAGGTGACACCTGCCAAACGACTTCATTAAAAAAAAGTTTGATCATTTATGATATTAGATCGGCCTTGACAAAATGTTTACACATTGTCCCATGCACATTCTTGCAGTATTCGTTCGTCATCATTAACATTTTGCTTTTCAGCTAGTTTTTTTCTAACTTCTATATACTACACTTACTTGTTCAAACACCTCTACACGGCGTACCTAATTAGTGCTTGAATAACAATAACATTTTAACTTTACTGTAATTGTCTATGATTATGATTATATCTGTTTGTAAACTGATCTGTAAACTTTTACCAGTGAAAAAGAATTTTCGAATGGATAAGAAATGTTTGATTTCAATTTGAACTTTCAATTTCAATATTAGAGTTTTTCTCATCTTCAATTACATTAGATCGGAGCTCAAGGTTATCTTTGCAAATGTAATATTACACGATAAATAGTAGAAATAGCTTTTTGATATGGATGCTGCAGGAAAAAGTCTGAAATATATGCTATAGGGTTGGAATGCTAAAGTTAAAAGTAAAGCTGCAGGACGGCGATCAAAACAGAATCCACACTGGAAATAGAACGACCGTTTTCTATTGAACCCCGTCAGAGATGGATTATCAAAACAATGACAAAATGTTAGCTGAAACAGATCCTACAAATTTCCTCAACTTTAACTCTATTACCAGAACTTAAGGTTATCTTTGAAATGTGATATCATGATACGAGAAATAGTAGAATCTAGCTTTTGATATGGTTGCTGCGGGACATAGTCTGAAATATTTGCTCGATTTGAAGCTGCGGGACGGCAATCAAAACATACTCCAAGTTTGAAATAGAACAACCTGATTCTAATGTACCCTATCCGAGATGTATTATGAAAGAAAATCAGAAGATGTTATTACTGATTTATTTTCCCAATCATTATGATGAGAAATTATCGTTTGTATGTCTTGTTTTCATATAGGGTTCAGAATTGTTCGAGGCCTTTTCGTTGAAATAAAGAAGGAGAAAATAACATCAGTCTCTTTCTTGAGTAAGAAAACGTGATATCTTGATGTGATGTCTTATGACCATGAGTCTTGTTAACTATAATTATTATTATATTAACTCTGTTAAGCGCATGTGCGTTGTGAAATTATTCTACTCGCATGCACGGTTTCAACCCCATTACAATGTTACTAAGAATTGTCGCACTACTAATTACCAAGGAGTGAGATACGCCTGCATGCATACATGTTTAATCAGTCAGAAATAGACAGTTTGTTTTAAGAAGAGGGGCATTTATCTTATTTATTCGTTTTAATTTTTAATATATAATTATGAAAAAGGTGTCATCCTACAATACACAGAATTCAAGGTACAACATTGTTTATAGTTTAGTATGTCATTTATATCAAGATGGGCTTGGGTAATGTCATTGTTCATGTTTTGATTGGTGAAATGAGGTTTTTTGCTTTCCAACCGCCAAAACTAATCAAATTTCAGAATGGGATATTCGAGGTGAAACCCTGGTTTCTGACAAAAATAAACTTTTCTTAATCAACAGATTTTGGAAACCCAGAGTATTTTATTATGTTATGTTTTTGTATAAATCATCTGATTGCCTAAGCTTGCACAGTTGTTGTCGTTGTTATTGGTTGTATTTTTGGCGTTCAGCAAAATCTGACTAATTACGCCTACTCTGATCCTTTACTTTAATCAGATGAGGTAGTCGATTCGTAATAATTCCTGGCTCGAGTCATGTTACATTACTGGTACATACACTGCTGGGGGTGTATCGTCCAAGCCAACACTGCTACGAACATTGAGCGGGCTTATCAATCCCTTGGAATACACAGCTTTAACACTTTTTTTTGTAATCGCATTGTTTAAATCACATGATGTAATTAAGATGTATTTCACAATCTAAACATAACATTTTACTGACAACAAATTAGGAGACCAAGTATTTTGTCGATGAACATAAGTTTTACAAAGAAAAATACCCCGAAGGTGGAATTATAGGACATCATAAAAAGGAGAAGAAAAAAAAAGAAATACTGATTATTCAGAGGTATACTATCTCGTTGCCAGGTTTTTCGCACATTTGTTTGGTTAAATCTCGAAATCTCGACTATTAGAGTAAACATTAAAAAGGAATGTTTATCGGAAAGTGAGTTGTTGAAACTGGTTTCGTTCTGAAATAATCTTTCGTAATTTGAAGCCTGCGGCATATCTACCTTTTTTCTTCTAAATTTCACCTGCAGGTATGTGGAGATTTGCGTTGTAATTACCATGCTGCTGATAACCTAAAAACATGTTGTCTTATTTAACACGAATTCTGCCAGACAGTCTGGTATGGTTTTGCGCCACTTAAATTATGATTGTAGTTGATTTGGGCTTGTGACGCCTTTTGTTTCTTGACAAGAGT